AGACCTAATAGGTTAGGTATATTTAATATTCTATGTATACCGGAACACATTGGTAACATGAAAACTGTCGAGCGCTTATATAATATTCGCATATATAATTAGATAGTGCATATCAGAGCTCCGTATGGACTGTATGCCTCATTAAGAAGGGTTTTAGTTATTTTTTAGAGTCTCTGAAAAATAACTAAAACCCTTCTTAATGAGGCATAATTGTAGCCCGTAAGTTTCTGATTAAAATGAGACATCTCTCAGCTTACACGGAAAATTCGTATTTTGCTTTTTAAAACTTTTATGGATAATAAATGTGAAAGCTGAATATGTCAGCGGATAGAAAATTCGAAATTGTATCCGGCACAGTAATGCTCGAAGTTAACACTGTTGTCAGAATGAATGTTTTTGGAAAACAGTCTAATCTGCTGCAAGCTTCACCTACGTCCTTTCGTTTCACTCAGTCAACTTAATAGAAAAGTTGTTTCGAGGTGAGTTCAACAGAAGCCAGACATCCGGCTGGTCTCTACACTTTAAATCGTGACAGTCATCTTAATGACTTATAGTCAGTCGCTGCAAATCGCTTTTGCAACTGCAAGCGTGTCAGTCACCTTTCGGACTGACAGCGACTGAACATATTTTTCATTCGGAAAAGCGGCTGCTGCTTACTTGTTAAGACGAGAAAGATTTTTCAAATATGGAAAACAAACCTACTTTCCGTTCGAGAAGTTGATTCAGGCTTCAAAATAATAAGTCTTGTCATTAAAATCTTAAATTTCCATTGTTTTGAAAATAAGTTATGGCGGTACTTGCTCGAGTTATGCACTTGTGAATCTCATTAAGTACGCATCCTTTCCCCGATTAGAGCACTTTCGCATCTCAGGCTTACAAACAAAATGAAGAACGCGCTCAAGAATTAGAGTAAAATTATGAATTTTTTATATTTTTTACAGCTTTCTGGCATGAAAAAGTGTCTAACACACATTTAGCTGGAAAAGGCGACCAGTACGCGTGCCCGACACCTTTTCGACTGAATGTTTTCAGTTCAATGGCTGATACATCATTGACTGCTTTACGGAGTCAGACGCCTTTCAGACTAGCATTATATGTCGGAAAAAGGCCTGACTTTTAATCATTAAAACGACTAGCACGATGTACAGTGTGGTGTTTTGCAGCAAGACTATCTTGATTAATTCTCTAATTTGTTCACTTTATTCAGTAACAAATTATTATGTTATACATTCACGAAAAATACAGCTATATATACATATCATCGAACATTCGATATAGGACCTAATGCCATCAGAAGAACTGGTCAGAACATGACATCATTAGGTCATGACGAACAAGAAGAATAGAAACGAATATGTCATTTACTACTGGCCGGACTAATGACGTTAGTAGAACAGAAGGAAGGAGAAAAGTTTCTAGTTATAAGCCAAGTCGACCGAACCCGGTCCAGCAGTTTGATCAGAACCGGTTGATAAGTCTCACTCGAACTGGGAACGGGCGCCCGGTCCGGTTGCATCTCTGCTTGTACCTCCTGTTTTATTAAAATATGGATTCCTAAACTAGTTCTTAGTGCATTTAATAGTGCCTGATATGACACCTCTTCCTTATTAGATAGATAATGCAGCATAAACAACTGACTTCACGCTGATGCATCCCACATATAAATACCGTAGCTTTGATAAATTAGTTTTGATGACGTACTAAATGTAGTATCTGCATTGGCGTAGCAATGAGAATTTGTAATAATGTTGGTGATGAAAAAGCCAAAACTGATAGGGGTTGAATTGTTACAAAATAAAACACATTTAAAGCAAATGTATGATACACGAAAATGCTTTTGTTTAACGAAGACATTTTAAATACAATGTTTTAGACTCTCACTTCACTCTGTGTATTTTATACAATTTTTATTATATACAATTTAGTAATCTATATTTTATTATAATAGGAGCTACAAGCTCGTTTTCCAAACTGAGATCACTTTTCAAAATTAATAGACAATGCCATTTCCAAACTGAGATCATTTTTAATTATTTAATTCTAAAAGTGATCTCAATTAATAATGAGCCAAAAAAAGTCTTCTATAAACTGATTACTTTCTTTTAAGAAATAATGATAGCATAGTAATACTCATTTAGTAGCGTAGTGCAGCATACATGGCTACAGGTAACTTTTGATGTTGATCACGAATCTCATGATCATTTGGGAACGTGTTCATCAATCTCATCTTTGTGATCAGATTCATCAATACAAATCGGGAATAATAAGGGGCGTTAGAATCTCACCTTATGGCACACCAGGATTAATCTTAAGTGTAGTATAGCTAAAAAAATTAAGTTAACAAAATTTTTTTTACAGCTACAAGCTATATACACGTTCGCATCTAACAATAATTACTATTAGTTATATATTTTTCTAAATAAAAATCTAATTTTTTCTCATAATTATTTTGCTTGCAAAATGAGACGCAATCATGACAAAAGCAACTGTTAAATGCATCAACTGGTAAAATCAAATTCTAAATCAATTAAATCTTCTAATCGCCTTTGATTGGCTTTGATATTTGCTAACTGATGTTCGACCAATGCATTAGTTTCAATCAATTGTGGTAGTGTACAATCACAGAGCGGTGTTGCTGACATTGGTACAAACATCTGTGTAAAATTAAAATTTAATGAAAATACATACGAGTGAGTCGGGCATAGTTGAATTTCGCTGTAGTTATCTGTTACATTTTTGTGAAATTCAACATATCCTTTGCCTTGAACCCAATTTCCCATGTGTTGCCCTGTTGTGTATATTAGTTGTTGTGTTACATTCATAAAATATTTATCAGTTATGCCTTTTGTATAGATGATACTATCTTGATTATATTTTGTACCCATTTTCATAAATTGTTGACGTTCGTGTAACGAATCATCGCGTCGATCATGTAATGATATAAAGAAACTTACTTCTCGACCGCCATCATAAACGCCAAGTACGGTGGAGAATAAGTATAAGTTTTTCTCTAAATCTGCTTTCAACGTATCTGTCCGATGATCAATCTGACGATCAGATAGATTCATATCTGTTGGTATTGATGGATTTCGTCCAGCACTTATAATAACATAACCACCAACGCTTAATAAATGCACAAATGACTGTTGACTGTAGACCCCAGATGCAATGGTTGTTGTAGTTAACGTACTAATCACTTCTAAATAACAATTAGTTACAAGCTAAAGATAAAGGATGGAAGTCATGATGTGCAGCATACCCTTCCCATTCAGACATTTCGCTGAAATCAATATACAAAGTGGAGCTAATATAAATGAAAATGTATAATGCATTTTTTTGATATACTGATTAGTTTTGAAAATAATGATTGTATTCCTCTGCTTTTTTAACTGCTAAAGACGTATCCATGTTTACATTGCTTAGAAGCCTAAATGACAGTGACTTTTTAATAAGTTACTTGATAAACTACAGTGTCACTACGAGTTATTTTCTTTCTCTATATTTCTTCATTCTTGATAGTTTAATCCCATGCTGGATTGATCACATAAATTGTTTGACAATATTTGTGTGAAATGAGTCACGCATTGCATATGTCGAATGAAGTCGTTTTTCTTTTTACTTTTCAATCTTAAGCACTCTGAACATAACGCATTCTTTTAGCTGTATATTTACCTATCCTTAGCCTTAACTTACATTTACCTATAAAATGTTTCTAAATCTGACCTTATCAAGTTATTAATCAAGAATGAGCACCTTTCACCTACGGCAATTACAGAATCATGACTAGATCATACTATTCGTACGATCAATATTGTTATACCAGAGATGCGAGACTAGAATGATAAAATGTAAATTCAAAACACAAAAATTCTGAATTCAAGGTATAATAGCCATGTTTGAACTTTACACTTGGGACAAATACACTTATTACACCCCCCTCATATATCGACTATTTCAGTTTAAATAGCCTCTGCGGAGTTCACTGAGTGCATTCTTAACAGTCTCTGATCGATAGATCAAGGCATATATGAATCAC